GTTCCTTGAGCTTAATATACGCTGAACGAGTTCGGCCCTTTTGATTTTCTGACTCCAACTCCTTGCACATTTCATTGTAATATTTTGCTTTGTATTTTGAATAAAAGGCATAGCTCATTGATAATTAATCCTATAAAATACAATGTATATGAACAATTGTATGAAATACAATGTAAATGAAAGAGTGTATAAAACACAATGCATATGAACAAAACACAATGTTAATGAAATATTGTATAAAAATAATTTTTTTTTAAAAAAGGATTTCAACGTCGAACTTTTAAAAAGAAAGGTGGGTGAAGGCTTTACTTCTGATTAAAGATTATGGATTTTTCTGTTCTTTCTTTTTAAAATAATGAGAATATATCCTTTTTAAATCACTCATTTCATCTACCTCCACCAAATATATGAAGGTTCCAAATGTACACTTTCCACTTGTATGTATTTAATAAATAAATAAGTAAAATAGTTTTTAAAAAGTTGAAGGCATTTTAAAACCTTCATCGTCATTTTAAAATGCCTTCACCATTCAGAATCATAATGGTGGTAAAGGTATTTTAAAACCTTCATGTTGCATTGAAACAGAAGAGGGAGAGAATAGCTTAGGAGAAATATATGATTAGGTATTATTGTCATGACAAGAGTCCAGAATTAAAGCTGCACAGTGGAGTGGACTTTGGGGGGAAGGTGAGAAGGGAGGAAAGTGTGCAACAATGAATGGAAATCCAAAGTCTCTTAAACTTTCAATAAAATAAATAAAAATTAAAAAAGAAACAAAAAACCCCTTCACTTCCATAGTCCCAACTGCCTGTCTGAATACCATCTGACCCCTCATTTCCCTGTTTTCTGTTCCTTCCGATTACTTAGATAATTCTGAATCATCTACTCTACTACCACTGTCCTGTTTTTTTAAACTTTGTCTCTTGAATTATCAACTCACATTTGAAAAATAAGCTCTATGTTTTTTTGTTGTTGTTTTTTTTAATTTAGGTTGTTTATTTTTCATTTTAATGAGCATCTACAGAGATTTTGGGATTCCATTCATTCATTGTTGCACCCTTCTCCCCGCACAAACCCTTCCCCCCTACCCCCCCCATTTGCTCCTCTCCTTGAAAAGCAAAAGAAAAACTCCCTCATTGGTACACAATGCCCCCCCCCACACCTACCCAAAGCTCTATGTTTTAAAATCAGTTTTTATACCTTAAATTCTTATGCACTGGTTAAGAAAGTAAAATATACTCAAGACAAATATATCTGAAGAAAAAAAATTACATAGTTACTTAGTTACTTGAAGGATAGCAACAGTTTGTGATACCCTACCATGCCATATAATGCAGGCATGCATATAAATTGGTTTAGGGGCTTTAGAAAATGACATGGTTCCACGTATGCTGCGATTTCATATAAGTCAATCTCCCTGTATTAGAGCACCCTATATAGGAATGACCTTGGAAAAACGATTAAAATTATATAAGTGTTCAGATCTTTCGTTCATAAGGTTGCTATGAGTCATCTATGAATCGATGGCACTTAACAATATCAACATAGTGAGAGCTTCTGTTGGCACAGTGGACAGAAAGTGATACTACCAAGCCAAAGGTGGTTGATTTTAATCTGCAATCCCCAACCTTGGTTTTAATTGTTTTTGGTCAAACATTCTTCTAAGTGTTATAGTGGTTTGTCTATTTGCTGTACAGAGGTAACTCACGGTTGCTGTATTCCTAAACACTGTGACGCTAATGTGTCAAATGCATTAATGGTTATTCATTGTGGAGAGTGTTTGGGGGAGCTCCCTAATTAAAACAAGCTTGGAAGCAGGAGTGGCATCCACTTCAGAAACAGCTTGCCTCCGGAAACTCTATGAACTTAGAAATGATGAAAGTTATACAAGTATTCAGGTCTTTTGTTCATAGGGTCACTATGAGTCATCTATGACTCGATGGCACTTAACAACAACAATGACATCATACTGGAATATATACTAAGCCTCCTGACATGCCAACCTTTGTGGGAAAGGATGAGCAATATCCTGCCATTTACTGCTTCTGAAAACCCACTAACTCAAGGATCAGTGATGAGTGGTGATTCTAACTCAATGGCATAAAACAATAACAACATATATTTAGCTCATCCTTTTTATATTTTCTATAGTTATCTTTGTTTAAACAAGAGTGAGTTACACTAATTTTTAATGAATTCAAAATCTTTCTACAATAGTCTATAAAGCTTAGGGTAACAAGCACACTGTATTAAAAACTAGTTAAGCCAAAGAATCAAAGCAACATGTTTCTGTTTTGGTTTACATTTAAGATTTTAGTGACTGTAATGGTTTTAAACACTTCAGTATAATGTAATCCCTTGAATTTTAGGAGAAAAATGAGGCTGCGCCTTCATATTACCTGAGGTGTTTAAGCAGCGGCTGAAGTCTCTCATCAGATTGAATAGTAGGCAAGGACCTGGCCGTTAACTGAAAGAAGAAGAGAGGGTCAGACAAAAGCTCAGGTCTAACATGTAACACAGTTTGAACACTAATGTAAAAAGGGGACTTTGTAAAGGATGAGGGGTGGAGAGGTGCTGGGACTTAAAAGAACAGGTATTTTTCCTCTCTTTTTAAATCAAGGAAGTTATATCCCAAATTGGCTCACACTATGCGATACTAGTTAGCTTTTAACCACCTAACATCAATTATCTGTCTGAGGGCTGCAGTGCATGTCATTGAGCTAAGATATCAAATCAGAGGCAAGACAAATAGTAAGAATACCCATCTGACTCAATGAAAAAGACTGTGGTCATGAAGACATAAGCTTTATAAATAAAAATGGAAAAATTTTAAAGTACTAAAATGTAGGACAATCAACCTTGTATCACTAAATCCCAGGTGATGGGAAAATTGAGGAGTGGGACCTTCATTTATAACTAAGCCACTGTGAAATTGGTTACAGGCTGAGGTACACACAGACACATACAAACACAGGCATTTCTTCATTCTGACACTGTATTACTACTATAAAAACCCAGAACTTCTTTTAAACATATGAAAAAGATCTAAAGTATTTAACACTGAAATATAATCTCACATTGATCTAGAATTAAAAAGTCAAATCCAAAGCCTACAAACTACGCATAAAGTTGACAGTATATCATAAAAATATAAGCTTCAGATATATTTTTATAACAATAAAGCTATATTTCTATATATTCCTGTTTTACTCACTGTTCTTCTGAGCAACCTCTTAAGTTGTAATAATGTGACCTAAATAAATTAAAGATATTTATCAAAAATAATTAGATAGCTTGAAGTAAACTTAATAAACAAAAGATAAATTTTTCCTGCATTCAATTATAATAATAAATTATTAAATTAGTCTGATAAATCGTTTACCAATTCACAAAAGAGAACCTTGAGATAAACAATAACTGAAGATGCCCTTTGGTCTCATAAACTTTTCCTACATCAATGTTTCACTGGAGCTCTGGTGGCCTAGTCCACAGGGGGCTGCACTGCTAAACTCAGGCAATCAGTTCAAATCAGCAGTTCCAGGGGGGGAACAAGGGCAATCTCCTCCTGTTAAATCTAAAGTCTCTGAAAATTTGCTTGAGGCTCACCTAGGAATTGGTTCTGACTTGATGACAATGACAGAAAATTGATATGCTCATGAAAAAGGCTGATGTAAAAGATCACGCATGAAAACATTACATTTCATCAAAAAATAATCATGGAGTTCCCTAATTTTCTATCTTTATTATTTAATAAAATTTACTGAGTCATAAAAAGTATTGACTAATTTGAAATACAATAAAGTAAGGCGATATCATGCTACAATTTCAGCACAACCAAGACTTCCATATATCTGAGAAATGTGGTTTTCATAATCACCAAACATTATCCAAGTTCTCAAAGCTATATAAACAAAACATTTAAATATTTTGATATACCCTGAATCTCTGGAAAGAGGTCTGTTGGCATAGTTGGTTATGTGTTGCTAACAGAAAAATCAGCGGTTCAAATCCTCCAGCAACACCACTGGAAAGATGAGCAGATTACTTCTATCAAGATTTACAGTTCTCAATGAAGGGTTACCATATATTAGAACTACTAACTTAAAAGCAGTGGATTTGGTTTTGTCAAATTCACTTATAAAACATCATTTTCATTATTTGAGAGATTTCACTGATTAGAACTAAAGCTACTCTCTAAAAAGATTAAAATAATTTGTCCTGATACTTAAGAACTCAATCCTCTGATAAAAGATGGAACAATCTATGCTGCTTTCAATCACGATCAATCTATGTAACATACTTTGAAATCAAACACTTTCCAAAATAAGAACAAACAAAATGACCCCAGTAATATAAAATTATTTCCTAACATCTGATAATTCTATATTGGAAGTATCTCTTAAATCTGTCTACTAATCTTAATTTCAGTCTTCATTTCCATTTCCCTACATATCAGTGTGAGGCACTGTTTTTGATTTGCTTTTTTTAATCCACTCCATGAGGCACAACATCAGCATATCTGTTCAGCTTCTAGAACAGGTACCCTCTGCAACTAATGTCTTCTTCATCAACATAAAAACACCATTTACTTTCAAATTTGAAACTTCTGACAAGAATATTTACTAAACCATAGGTCAAATGTTGTTGTTGTTGTTATGTGCCGTCGAGTCGTTTGCGACTCATAGCGACCCTATGTACAACAGCCCTAAACCCTGCTCTATCCTGTGCCAATCA